GAAATATCACAACAGCGTATATATGTTTGTAAACATATAATTGAGCGACAACAATGCAGTTGCTTTAATAAACTAAAACTAAGTAACTAAACTTTTTAATTTACCAGATAAGGCCCACTGAGCTATGTAGCTCTTTTTCAAAAGCGACCTGGCCACAAATTAAAGCTCAAACAAAGTGGCTTGTGATGTGTACATTTATAGCAGTCAAATGCTGTAAACGCACGTTGATTTTAAATGTGGAGGGAGAAAAAAATGCACAAACTCCAAATATACAGGCGTCAGGGTCGGGACTGATCCCACGACCTACTGCATACCTGGCGAAGTAGTTAACATCTCACAACTGCGTCACTCTCTTGCTACTGCGCTATCAAACGCTTATTCAGCATCAAGTACAATCGCAGTAATTGAGCCACGTGGGGCGTGAACGTGTACACAATTATGCCAGAGTCATTAAAAGTGCCCCAACAGCACTTTAAAAGATTTGCAAAGGTGGTAATGGGGGGGGGGTAATGGGCTCATTATACAGATGGCTGCCGCTGTGGTTTGCCAATCTTTCCCCCGCCCCGCACCACCAATGAGCACAGTTGGGCAATGTCCGATGCGAAAGAAGTTCAACAGACGTACGTACAACCTACTCGGATTCACAGCACGTCGACCCTCTCTGGGGAGTCGCGCGCTCGTTACGAGTTGACAGTCTCGCGGGGGGACTCCACACCAAAAAGACCCCACATGAAAATAAATCCGTGAGGTTTTTTGTTACTTATTTTGACTTATTCCAGCTCTGTGGAAAAACAGGTCCCTGCAGGGTGGGCTGGTAGGACAAGTCTCTGCGCTGTCTATTGCTGATTTTACACCCAACAGCATGAGATTTCACTTCGTTAAAGTATTGAAAGGGGACGGACGGACACATTAATCTATTGCAGGCTGGTACACTCAGTTTACAACTTCGTTCCTACCAGTAAAAACCGATTGCAATGATTGACACGTGATGAACACCGTTTGCGAGCATATACAGGTGTGGCCCCTTGTTTTGTATGTACGTATGCTGGACTTCTTCCCCATCGTAAGTAGCCAACCGTGCTGATCGTGTGCATAAAGAAGCGAAGGAAATTGGATCCACTCTGATGATAGCACGGTTGGCTACGTACGGTGCGAAAAAAGTTCAACGCACATACATACGACATCTCCTAGGGTAATTTTCTTAGAGTGCTGCAGAGCTAGCTACAAGAGTGCTGCGTGTGCATGTCTTGGTCTCGTGATATGACGCTGGTACCACAATTGGAAATAAATTGGAGGGAGTTGTACCTTAAATTGATATGATGGGTGCACGGTAGAATACCAACATCGTGAAACCCACAAAGCCAGCAGAAAGGCCTTGTATCACCCTGAGGGATGACCCCAGAAGAGACACTGACACACACATCGATTTTATAAGGGGATTTATTAACCACTACAGCAAAGGGTGGGCAGGGGTGTGGGTGTCATGAGCTGTTCTACGAAGTTTTTAGTCCCCCCCCCATCTACCGCCATCGGTGTGTCCGAGAGGACATCGGTGTGTCCGTGAGGACATCACGCTCTCCCGTGTACCGTACTGCACGTCGCCGTTGTACGAGGTGCTCCAGCAAAGCGCGGGCAAAGCGTTCTTTGGTAACGCGCTCACCTACGGTGCCAGGTCGGACGCAATTCCTCCGCGTAAAACCTGGCCACGATAAACATTCTGCTGTTTATCGTGGCCAGGGAAAAAGGCTCCCCCCCCCCCCCCCCCCCACCGGGTGAAACGGGAAAGTCGATTCGACTGGAGGAGACTCCAGCGTGGCGCACAGCACGCGCTTCTGAATAGATTGCTGCTGGTCTGTGCAAAGCGATGGTCTCCTCGCCGTCAATTCTGCGGAGGGATTTTACTTGGCGATGTTGCAAATAACATCAATGTTCAGTTTAACACGTGGGAGCCTTTCGTGACCAGTGTTATCCATCGTAGAGGTTTTTTTTGGATTAGATCTCGTAAATGTAAATGTGTCGTTAAAAACCCGACACCGCCCGACATTGCCAATTAGTACGCTTTGTCAAGTAAACAAAACACGCCAATTCGTGACTAGTTCGGCACATCGGTGTGTTGCAAAGTTGTAAATGTTGTGGGTTTAACTCTACTGGACATCTGTGAAAAAGAGCATATAGCTAATCGGATTCCTCCAGAATTAATAAATATTCAGGTTTTGATTTAAAGCTTTCGTGACTGCAGTAATTCATATTCTTAGTTTTTTCGGTAAAGTCACGTTGAAGAGAAACAACAAAATAACAAAATATATATAAAACAATAAAAAATTCTCACGACGTTTCGACCATAACTCAAACGGTCATCATCAGGTGATGATGACCATAACTCAAACGGTCATCATCAGGTGATGATGACCGTTTGAGTTATGGTCGAAACGTCGTGAGAATTTTTTATTGTTTTATATATATATTTTGTTATTTTGTTGTTTCTCTTCAACGTGACTTTACCGAAAAAACTAAGAATATGAAATATTCAGGTGTTTTGTTTTACGTGACAAACCTTACTAATTGGCTGTGTCATGTGGTGGCAGGTTTTAAGACGAGTTTATGCTTGATTTGAAGCTTTCGTGACTGCAGTAATTACTCTTCGGTTCTTTCGGTAAAGTCACGGAAACTTTACCGAAAGAACGAAGGAGTGACAAGTTTCTATTTATGCAATCGAATCCCACAAAAAAACTCTATTATGGATAATATCGATACTGCTAACCCTGGTAATTTCTCCAAAAGTGTGTTTCAGATGTACTTCGTCGATGTCATGGTCAAATTGACCACTCTACTAGCGTCATAATAAAATATATATAAAGATGGGTTCATATCACATAATGCATCTAAATTACCATGAGAAATCGTACGTAAAGCTCACGGTGTCCTATTCACAATACATTTATTGATGCACCGAATACCAGCTCCACATTTGGCTCCATCCAAAAGCCAGCCTTCTTTGTAATGTTCAGCTCATGCTCAATAATAAATAAAACAAACAAAAACTAAAATCTGGACCTTCAAACTGTGCGAGGATTTTGACCACGTTGGCCGTGGTGGTCACATAACCACCACCGCCAACACCACTATCAAGCTACGAAGAGTGGAGGGCATATGGTCAAGTGTGCACATGATCACGTGCAGCCTGGGCTTGAAGGACAAGGCCTGGGACATTGCGGTTGGGGGGGGGGTTGGGGTGGTGGCTGTGGGAGGGCATAGCAGCATCAGGACAAGGCTTCGTGACGCAGCTACCCATCCCGTGACACACACCACCACCCAACCCTCCACTCCACCATGAGCATGCGGGCGAGAGGCAGAAAGACAGACAGTGACAGGGAGGGGAGGGTGAAAGACTGTTACAGATGGCTCCAGGGAGAGAGACAGAGGGAGGGAGGCGGACAGTGAAAGGTCACCCGATAGTGAGACAGAGGGCAAGGCAGGGTGGTGGATTGTGGGGCGGCAGGGTGTGGGATGAGGGGGTGGCAGTGTAAGGGACAGCCCTAGTAGGGTGTACACGTTCCTTAAAACTCTACATTGAAAACTCAATAATTTTTCAACTAATAAAAACGTGTCTAGCAATATTATTCATTTTAAATTCAATGTAAAACTCACATTTTCAAAACCACCAAACGGAAATGAACAACATTACATTTACCCAAACTTAACTATCAAGCCCCCTTGTTGTTGTGGTTTGTTTAGAAATCTTGTAATGGACTTGCCAAGTTAGGGCACGCCACGAACTGGCCACCGCTGATCTAAATCACGGTGTACGAGGGTGATCCAAGGTTAACATTCACCGTCAGTCTTATAAATTAGTGAAGCGAAGTGAAGCAAATGAAAATATTGTTCTTCAAGGTGTTTCTCTGCTAGTCATAAGTGTGTCCCATCGGTGTCGACATGCACTCATGGCAGAATACGTAAGAATGTGAAGGACGTGATGGCACGGCATTGAGAAGAAGAGGGCATATGGGGGGGGGGGGGGGGGGTGCCACTTGTCAGGGTCAATATCTACGAGTGTATTTGTGTGCTCACGCGAGCAATTTGTGCACGGGCATTCATTCATGTGCACGCCGATGCGTCTGCCGTGTGTGTGCACTTACAATACACTTGTGTGTGTGTGCGTGTGTAAGCCACTGTCAAAACAAGCATTGTAATAAGGAGAGCAATTCATGCGGGAGAAAACCGGAGCACCTGGGGAAAACCCACGCATGCAATGGGGCAACACAGGAGAGACAGATGATCTTAGTCCGCACTTTGCTGGAACACCCTATCCTGGCAAGTCATGACATGGCACCTAGACGCCCATGAGAAGGGAGGTTGACAACATTTGTAAGATCCACCAACAACTTGCCTCCACAGGGCTGAATTTAATGCCTCGACGTCTCTCTCCACGTCGTGCTGGGAACTTCTTTAGGAACTGACCTGAAGAAGAACTGAAAAAGCTCCCTGTAATGTGCAATTTAAAAAAAACGATGAACTATTTGAATTGTACCGGAGCTATAGAGCTCATATTCAGAAGCGACCTGGCCGCAAATGATAGCCCAATGAAGGGACTTATCACGTGGACATTTATAGCGGCCAAACACTCTCAACGCATGTTGATTCTAATTGTGGAGGGAAAGACTTTGGAGGACCCAGAGAAAAACCCACGAGGGTCACGGGGAGAACATGCAAACTCCGGATATACAGGCGTCGGGGCCGGGATCGAACCCACGAGCTCCTGTACGCCAGGCGAGGTAGTTAACATCTCGCCGCCGCCGCGGCGGCGCACTAAATGTTGCGCCGCGTGTTGTTCAGCATGGTGGCCCACCGCCACGCCGAACAAACACGCAGCACAACCCTACAGCTCGCCGGTGAGCTACGGAAGCAGCACAAACGCGGCATGAGGTCAGCGTCCCTCGCGAGGGGGCGCACACACACACAAACACTGGGGGGGGAGGGCGGCTCTGTTCGCCGTCACTCACCTGTGACGCATGCGGACCGAGCCTCCATCCACCTGTCCGGCGGGCTGGGACATCTTGTTGCGCTCCACGTGCTCCGTGTACGCCTGGATGATCTGCCCGCGAAACAAAGACAAAGATCCCCCGGATAGCCTTGACATACATTTGGGGCAAGTGCTGTTAGCGAGTAGGTACCGATGAAGGCCGGCACACGAGGGGATGGATGGCCCAGCGCTACGAGGCTCCCACAAAGCCGTGCGCGGGAGGGCGTGGCACATTTCAGCGCCAGCTATCAGAGCTTGGTCGTGTGGCTACGATTCTCTGCAGTGAGTACAATGTCTTTAAAAAAACAACGCCATGCCTTTGTCTCCCCAGTGGCGTCGTTTGACACACCGCACCAGGTACTCATTTAGGGAGGCCCAGGACCGTGAATGGGAACCGAACTCAGGCCGCCAGACTTGTAGCAAAGGGGTGCCAACCGCTACACCACCGCTCCCCACTGCACAGACGTGCCCACGTGCACAGCACCAGCAGCAATCTGTCGGCTCTATCGCCTGATTTAGAAAGCTCTGATGGGGAGCGTTCATCACAAGACGGTTCAGCGGCCAGAGTGGCTCAGCGGCAGAGCGAGGAGCTGCTCGCAATTGGAAGGTTGCGAGTTCAAATCCCGGTTGGTGGGGGGGTGACTTCACCCATCATGGCTCCTGTATTGATAAAAAAAAAACATTTGTACGACGTTTTGAGCAAATCAAGCGGTTGGTCCAATGTTTGACTCGTCCCTACCAAGGACGCGTTTGTTGTCCTTACCCCGCACCTCCGATTAGGGCGACTGGCTATGTACGGTGTGAAAGAAGTTCAACGTACATACATACAGAGGAATGCAGAATTCCACCACTGGCTCATGGCTGGAACCAGGAGAAAAACGCCACCTCGTTGCTCTTTTGAGCAGGAAATCACGCCGACTTCAGACGACAAACAAAACGATGTTTGATATCTTCAACGGACACGGGAGATCATTGTCTGTAAACAAACTTTTATAAACACTTTAAGACTGTTACATGTTGTACAGTTAGGAATAATGATCACAGCGAATGTGTTTTTGTTTATGTGGGCTTACATTACAAGGCAGCAGTGGAAACAATTGCATAATTGACTACTCCCTTAACCCTTTTCCAGTTCCGATGTCGTACGTAATCAGTTTTTTCTCCAATTCCATTCCGATGATGTACGTGTTGATCATCAAAACGAAACCGAAAGAATAAAATAAAATAACTTTATCGGTATCGAGGTTTCTTCAAGGCCATGCGGGAGGGTGGGTGGCACAGTTTGGCGCCAGCTATCACAGAGTGCGGTCGTGTCGCTACAGTTGCATGCGGTGAGTACAATGTCTTTAAAAACAATGGCGCTACTCCGGTCAAAATAAAATTAAAGCCGAGCTGCTTGCGTGCGTTCCGAGATTCAGAGGTGGATGGGACAACCCCCGCTGCAACTTGCAGACGTCTTGAAATGGGCAAGGGTTAAATGGTTTCAGAGGCAAGCAAGATGGGGAGACGAGGAGGGCTAGCCAACTCTTGAACATCTTAAAAGCGGGCAATGTGTCCTGCGTTCATTCGATTAATTCGTGATAACAAATGAAAGTTGTTGTTGTTGTTGCTGCTGCTGCCAAGCTAAGAAGACCGCTCTAAGTTTTGACCGGTGGCCAAGCGTGCCTCCTGCCTCCGGATCGCACGCCATCGCGGACGGACTCGCTGTGCGGGCTGCGGCTAAACGCCGGTTGGCTCATCGGTCGTCCGACGGATTCCCTGGGGGGGTTGGGCGATACCCTGGCGGATGTGAATAGCGGATGGACAAGAGGTGATGAAGGTGACAGAAGAAGCGGTCTCTGGCCTGTAAAGTGGGGGGGGGGGGGGCTAGGGGCAGGGCGAGAAAGGCACAGGCAATGGCACCTCTGTGTATCTGTGACGCAGCGCGGAGTATTCCTTCTTCAGCTCCGCCTCCCGATCCTCGAGCCGTGAGACTGCAGACCACACACCAAAGCAGTCCCACCGGGCACAGCCTTGTTTATGGACCCATACTCTTTGGTTCTTTCGGTAAAGCCACGCAGGTACGACGGGACGCTTGTTGTGTTGCGCCCGAAACGTCGGGATTTATTTTATTTTATTTTATACCTACTACGTGACTTTACCGAAAGAACCAAAGAGTATGGATTCCTGCAGTCAAGAAAGCTTCAAATCAAGATTGTTTACGGGCCGTTGGGACAGAATTCGGTTATGCAACAGGCACCTATTTAGGCAGAGACCCGAGGTGATGGTGTGGTCAAAGCCACGCCTGGCGCTAATGTTTACACACTGCAACTGGTTGCTCGTTTAAAGGGCCCGATTTCATCCAAGGTATGAGGTTCAGCACCTGAGCAAATATCACTCGCCACTGATGATAGCTGTGGCCGGGAGTTTGAACCGAGGTTGGCCGGGTTCATGGCGCAGTGCGCTAACCACTGCGCCACCGCTCCCATTGCAGTATGCAGGACTACGATAATGCCACGCACCTTTCCTGCCAAAGTAAATGCTCACTAGTAGCACTTGCCTTTGCCAACATGGAGGAGGCCTTCTGTTGGATCCCCGGTCAACCTTTGCCAAGCACAAGGTCGCATTTTCTCCTCTGCTGCCCCCACAATTTGTAACTCCATCCCCTCCCCACCCGTCAATGCTTTCAACTCCCTGCACATAATGAAGTCCAAGCATAAGACCGTTCTTCTTTACTCTGCCTATGACTGCCTGCCTTCCTCTTTATGAAAAAAATATTTCCACTGCTTCTATGCAGCGTCTCGAGACACAAGTCGTATTGATGCGCTGTAATAAATCCACACTGTGCTGTGATTATACAAAGTTGGAGCCTCCGTGAGAGTGCTCCCACGTAGGAAGCTGCACTCACTCTGGTCCAAGTAGAACTTGGAGCGGATCTCCAACTGCTTGAGCTGCAGTTCCAGCGTCTCAACTTTCCCCAGGAGGGTGTTGCGATCCTGCTCCAGGGCATCTTCATACTCGATGTACTTCTGCACGCCCAACCAACAAAGGCACCACATGCGGCATCAACACAGCTCACCCACCAACCCACCAACCCATCAACCCAACAACCCACTAAACAACCAACCCACCAACACACCAACCCAAAAACCCACCAAACCACCAACCCTCCAACTCAACAATCCACCAACTCACTCTGGCCACGTTTTGAAATAAATTATTTTATTCATGAAAAAAACACAAATGTAATATATATCGTAGCAATAAATGGTGGTATAAATGATTTTGCCTCTATATAAAATGTACACCCATCTGGGGGTATTGTGTTTGACCATACTACACCATGATGGTAATTCGGGGGGTGAGGGACAGGACTGGTTCAGATATCACTCACCACTGATGTTGGCTGTGGCGAGGGATCTAATTCAGGTGACCGTGTTCATTTCCAAATGCTCTATCCACTGGAGCAACGATTATGTATGTATGTTGAACTTCTTTCGCACCGTACGTATCCAACCGTACCTATTTGTATTTATTTCATCTTTACATTCAGAGACGAACAAAAGTCTATGTTACCATCCATAATACACGAATAATACATCGACGATTACAAACCTTATCTACAGTGTTATTGTAAAACAAAACACCAAGTATTCTGTGGTCTTTCGGTAAAGCAACGTAGATAGATAACGAAAGACCCAAAGAACATGAATTCCTGCAGTCACGAAAGCTTTAAGTCAAGATTTAAAACACCAACTATCTATGCCAATTTGAATTAATTCCACGAGTGGTTTTGTAACAAAGGGGGCAGAGCATTTGCCACCGAGTCACAAAACGTTCAACAACTTCAAATCCGCAGGTGACTGAGACGGAGGTCAACGTGTCTGTGACCGAGTCCGATAAGTCAATACTTTCAATTCCCATTGCAGCCCAGCGACTTCCATGGGGCATCCTCAAAGTCGACTGCGGTAAATGTTATGTAAAGTAGATGCAAAATCATCTCATTGAATAAGGCTAGTGCACACCAGTGTCACAGCCCCAAAAATGCATCCAGTGAAAAATAACCGATTACCTAATGGTATAAATAACCGTGCTCACTTAATTTATGTTTTCCTTTCCAGCCGTCCTTGCAGGCCAACGGACTGCAATCGGTCTTCACCTGGATTACGAAGGCTGCCCTCTACAGTACACGCACCGCATTCACAACCACTGCACCACACCGGTAAAGTGGGTGTCCACTCAGGAACTAAACTAACACGAAACTAGTTTTTTTTTTCCAGTAAAGTCACTTAGGTACTTTACCGAAAGAACCAAAGAGTATGGATCTCTGCAGTCACGAAAACTTCAAATCTAGATTAGTTTTTTTATTTTACCAGCTAAGGCCCACTGAGATATACAGCTCTATTTCATAAGTGATCTAGCTATTACAAATGATAGCTCAACGAAGTGGCTTATCATCACGTGGAAATTTGTCAGCCAAAATACTCTAAATATACGTTGATTCTAAATCCACACGACCATGGGGAGAGAGAGAGAGACGCAAACTCCATATGTACAGCAGGCATCAGCAGGATCAGAAACGAACCCACGGCGTCCTCCATACCATGCGAGGGAGTTAGCATCACACCAATGCGGAGCCCCTTTTAAATTAGATTCCTAATAAAATAATTTTCACAAAAGACTTATTAGTTTTTTTACACAGCACCTCCGGATAAATGCTTTGAGCTCGACCTTGAATTGCGGAAATGCTTTTGCTGCAATTCTTCGATGAACTGAATTCCGTGGTCGGTCTCGCCGACGCCGGTTTTTAGATGAATGCCTTCAAACAATCGCAGTTGGCGTTTTTTTTCATAACCGTCTTGAGAAACGTTGCGAAGCCAAATATTTTAGATTCTCACATGTTCTGGGGCGCAAGCAAGTTGTTTTGTTGTATGTTTTATATATATAAATAATATAAGACAAAAAAGGCTGTCAGCTTGCACACCATGTGATCTGTAGCCTTCTCGCGTGTGTTTTGAAACACGGCACAAAGAACAGTGTGGTCTCTTCCGTGTGATCCATGTGCACGGCAGACACAAACGCAACCAACAGGCAATGAAATGCGGGAATGAAACCGAGATGGACATTCAACAAAGAGTCAACTCGAGGCACTGTAGAATTTCCCTGCAACGCAGGTGGGTCCAAAGGTATACAAAAGGCCTCTACCGAATGGTGTATGATCGCTCGTAAAACAAGACATTATAGTACAACGCGATGGCAATTCACTACAAATGACACAATCACAACTGTCATTTAACCCCGGGGCTGGTACTTGCTACGAACTTTGCAACTGCTCTACGCCTTGTAGGAATGTTTATTTTTTCACGTTCATTGATCTCCATTTGGCCTCTTCGCAGCGCGCCCCGTGGTCATCTCTGTAGCTCCGCAGGGGTAAGGCAAGGCCTCAGATTGGAACCCCTGTTTTTACACCATTCCATCGGTAAGCAAACATTTTCCCCGGAAAGCCACTGGAACTATTCGGAAAGCCACTGGGGAGCTATGCACGTTTGAAGCTAAATTGAAAAATAATTTGTTTAGATATTAATTTTGTGTTAAGTTTGTTGTCTTTCCCCCCCCCCCCCCCCCCAACAACACATACAATTAGTACGGTTGGCAATGTATGGTGCAAAAGAAGTTTAACATACATAGAGAACAAAAGGTAAAAGTGCAGAACTGAAATTATTTATTCAAGGCCACTGCTGCCATCATGGCCTCCACTAGAGGATGCTCTACATAGCCACTCAAAGTCGTTGTTGTTTGGGTCCGTTAAATATTGTTGGTGCTATAAATTCCATTTTCATTTTAAACTAAACTATAAACTATATTTTATTTTACCAGGTAATACACACTGAGCTAGATTGCTCTTTTTTACAGAAGCGGTTAGGCCACAAATGATAGCTCAACGAAGTGGCTTATCACGTGGAACTTTAAATCAGCCAAACACTCTAAATGCGTGTTTCTAAATGTGGAGGGAAAAACCGGAGGACCCGGAGAAAAATCCAAGCAACCATGGGGTGAGAGAGATATACAAACTCCAAATGTACAGGCGCTCAGGTTCAGGATCGAGCTCACGACCTCCTGCATACCAGGCGAGGGAGATAACATCTCGCCACCGCTTTGTCAGTGCACTGCCAGTGGTTGTTTCATGATACATTATCATGCTGGTTGATGCAGATGGGTTCAGGAGGGCCCAGGACCAGTTCATTTATCGCCATGGCCGGGAATCGAACTGACTTTCTTAATAGCACAGTGCCCTGATCACCGTGCCACCCGTCCACCCAGTCAACATATTTACTTGGCATTCCACTTTTTTTATATTGCTAATTTCTGGATGCTGCCACAACGTTATGACCCGCACACTGGACTTTAAATTCACATGTTGCCGGTTCGATTTCTGAGTTTGGCAGTTGAAACAGTGGTGCAAGTTTATTAAGTCCTCCCACCTGTCCACCCAGCAGTATAAATGGGTCGACCGGAGTTAGTCGATCACCAGGTCACGTGTGTGGGGGGGGGGGGTAATGTGGAAGAATAGGCCAAATACCCTCTTGTGGGCTTCTCGAGAGCTCCCTGTAGTGATGGCCCTTCTGCCAGCCAGTAGCATTCCAATTTTTATTTAGAATCCTTATGCAGACTGGAGGAATCGAATGAGCCGTAAAGCTCTTTTAGGCAGATGTCTGGCAGCATTGGCAAGGGATTGCAGGGCTGCACCTTGCCCGTTACATATATTCGTCATTCGTCGGCAACTTTGCATTTTTCCGTTGCCTTGAAGGAAACGATTGTGGGAGGGTTGTCAATTTAGTTAATGGCCGCCGCTTGTGGTTGCCTTGCAGGAGGGACAGGCCCAAGTCTCTGCGGCTCTTCCTGCTCCCGGGCCCGGAGCCATCCCCGTCCGTGCCCGTGGCTCGTGGTTGTTTGGGTCCGTTAAATATTGTTGGTGTTATAAATTGCATTTTCATTTTAAACTAAACTATAAACTATGTTTTATTTTACCAAGTAATACTCACCGAGCTATATTGCTCTTTTTTACAGAAGTGGTTAGGCCACAAATTATAGCTCAACGAAGTGGCTTATCACGTGGAACTTTATATCAACCAAACACTCGAAGCGCATGTTTTTACATGTGGAGGGAAAAACTGGAGGACCCGGAGAAAAATCCACGCGACCACGGGGAAAGAGACATACAAACTCCAAATATACAGCAGGCGTCAGGGTCGGGATCGAACCACGACCTCCTGCATATCAAGTGCCACCTGACAAACATCTTGGGAGAGACAGTCGCAGAACAGCGAGTTTAAACCAAACAAATGGTTATTGTCATGAATAAAAGGCTGTATGGCCGACATCAAACACTGCCACTGACAACGTGTCTGTTGCAGCCCCCGTCGTAACCGAAGCTAACAAAGATTTCATGATGAATGTTAAGATGTTGCCCGTTGCCTAAAAATGGCTGCGGGATATTTCGTGAAACAAACCATTATTTTTTTCCTTGTACGGGCCATTACGAAAAAAAATCCGTAGCGAAACATCGCCATATAATGGACTCGTGCCCGACATGCACGAGTCCATTAATAAACATTATGCCAGAGTGCAACGCTGGGGCGAATATCTCTTTGGCAGGGGTACTTACGGATGTCTATCTCCATCATTGCTATATAGTTTATTTGTCTTTCCTTAGCCTTGGTCACTTTGTTGCACCAGGTCAATACAGGTAGTCCCCGACTTACGATGGAGAAGCGTTACGACGACCCCATCGTAAGTCGAAAATATCGTAAGTCGAAGATGGCCTAGCCCTACCCAGGAGTCTTAAAGAATGGTGATAAGTTAGTAAAACAGAGCAATTTACAGTACCGTACTGTATAAACTATATACTGTATGTATTTATTCATTACAATACTGTATTGCACAGTAAAATTTAAAGTAAAAAAAGAAGGTAAATTCTTAGCCTACCTATATGAACTGCAATTTAATAGAAGGATTGTTTCCTGAAAAA